TTTTTTTTTTTTTTTTTTTTTTAATTTCATCCTCTTCCTTTTTTTTTAGTAGTAAATATCCGTTATGATATCTATCTATAAGACCTAAGTTCGAATCCAGATCACCACATAAACAGAATAAAATCATTCTGAATTTGAATTTGCTGCGGGCGGTCAGTTCAATGATGGTATCTCACGGCGGCCGCTTTTTGAAAAAAAAAAAAAAAAAAAGGGCTACCGGACAGAAATGGCCGGCGGCGCCAGCCAAAAGGGAGAAAAAAACTCCGCGTTGGCGTTTCGGCAAAGCTTGGCGCGCAGAAGAGGAGGGGGGGGGGGGGGGGKGTCGAGGCTTCGTGAACTTTGCCCCTCGGATATTACTGGTGGTGGTTGAAATGGCTACATGTGCAATATCCGAAGAGTGTCCTTTTTTTCTTTTTTTTCCCCTAAAAGGAATTCTATAAGCAAATGACTGCACGTGGACACTTCCTCCACCACATGCGTGAAAATCGGAACGATACAGAGAAGGGTAATTTATAGAATGGCCCCTGCGCAATCAAGGAGGACAAGCATAAATCGAGAAACAGTCCCAAAAAAAAAAAAAAAAAATTAAAAAAAATTGGCGCAATCAAGGAGGACAAGCATGATTCGAGAAGTAGTCCAAAAAAAAAAAAAAAAAGTTGGATAAAATCACGGAGGACAAGCATAAATCGACAAATAGTCCAAAAAAACAGTTGGATAAAATCACTCCGACGAGAGACGCTTGTACGAACGTGGACGGAATTTCCCGCCAGGTACATCGTTGCATGTAGATGGATAGCCCGACGAGATGGTCTGAACGTGGATGGAATTTCCAGCCAACCAAAGGGCTCCACGTAGAAAAGCACGTAGAAAAGGGTTGTACGAACATAGACGGGACAATGACAGAAATTCCAATTTCAAAAAAAAAAAAAAATTGCAGTCATTCTGTCATCAAAGCGAGAAAAAAGTAATCGAGCCTCCCCCTACAATAAAACGTGATGTTGAAAATTGGAGATCCGTAAATTAGTAAACACCCAATTTCATCGAGCGACAAAAAAATCCAGTCAAAGTATTACTTGGAACATGTGCTCGCAGCAAAATTCTCGACAACGAATTTGACCTTCATTGCGGCTAGATTCGGTCATTTACGCAAAATTGTCGCCAACGAATTTGACTAGGATTCCATCACTAGCGTGTCAAATCGTGATGATTGAATTTCAGTTCGCATACCCCAACTTGCGAGGTAGCCCCGACGAGAGTATGTATTTTGAAATTTGACATTTGCAATGACCGCCCCCGTCTCTCTCTCTCTCTCTCTCTCTCTCTCTCTCTCTCTCTCTGTGTGTGTGTGTGTGTGTGTGTGTGTGTGTGTAGCAGAGTGAGGAGTTGACTGTCCCGACTCTCTGTAATTCAGATTCCTCTCTCTCTCTCTCTCTCTCTCTCTCTCTCTCTCTCTCTCTCTCTCTCTGTGTGTCTGTGTCTCCCCCGCAGCCCTCCACAGTCTCCCGTATGGTCACAAAGAAACCGGAGATATCATTTTGATCGATATTTCGCCAAATTATTGTGACAACTTCAGGGGAAATCATTTTTTTTTTCTTTTCCGGGAATATCAAATTATTATAGAATATAAATAAATAAAAAGGATCGTACGATCAAAGGTTAAGGCTTCAACGCCGTTTTGTCTGTCCCCTCCGCTTTCCCGCCAATATATATTCATTGCACATTTTCGATCGACGAATAAGAGTTCTATACTCCGAAAAAATAAAATATCGAGAATCCTTCGTGTCTAAGAAAGGAAACAGACAAAAATTTCGCGCAACGAAATCGAAATTTCTCTTCATATATTACTCAAATTTCAAAATGAATTCTGTAATCAATGCTAGTCATCATTTCATTAAAATAAAATTCATTAACAGATTCATTCACAATGTTGGCAGATGGCAAGCGGTGCAACTGGAACCACGAGGGGGGTAGTGGGACTCACGAAGGACTCCCGAAGAAACCACGGCCATTTCATGTTCGACCACTCGCCAGCCGCCGGCAACATTTTGAATGTACAAGGACAAATTCCGTGTCCAGATTCATTCAAAATGTTGGCGGAACTAGGCCCTAACGCGCCAGCGAGGACTCACGAAGGACTCCCGAAGAAACCACGGCCAATTCATGTTCGACCACTCGCCAGCCGCCGCCAACATTTTGAATGCACGAGGACAAATTTCCTGTCCAGATTCATTCAAAATGTTGGAGGAACTAGGCCCTAACGCGCCAGCGAGGCAGGGTCGATTCATATGCCGCCGAGATTTGAATCTGGACAAATTGAATCTGGACAGCCGCCGTGACCAGTACCTCAACCAAAATGAGGACACGCGGGATTGACAAGTGGCACGTGGCAGGAGATACTGGCCACGTCGGATGAAACAATTGACACGTGTCAATTTGACACGTGAGACGGGAAAGTTCGCATGTGGGATGAGGGCTTGAATAATCAGATTGGGAGGAGGGGGGGGACGGGGCGGGAAGACGCACACACACAGAGAGAGAGAGAGAGAGAGAGAATACCCGTGCGCACGAAAGAAAGAAAAATCAGGGAATACTACTCACACTGGGAAGTCTTTTGTACTAATTTGTGGACGTGATTGCGGTCCGATACATCCGGTCCTGCCGTAAACACGGTCAGATACATTTAGTGAATTATCCCCTCAGAGAATCTAACTACTTATAAGCGAAGAAAGGAGAATCAGAGAATTTTCTTTTTCCCAAAAGTTTTACTTGGGCGAGGTAAAGGACATCAAAAAATACTTTTGTGAGCGAAGAAAGGAGAATTTTTTTTTTCCTTTTTTTTTAAATCTCTTCTTCTCACTCTTTATCAAGCCGAGTGCTCGATTGCAAACTGCAACGGAAGGAGGTGGGTGACGAGAGAGAGAGAGAGAGAGAGAGAGAGAGGGAGTCGCGTTTGCACATTGTTATTCTGGATTTTTCCTCTTCTAAATCGTATTTCTCCATTTATTTATTTATTTATTTATTTATTTATTTTGGGGGGGGTAGGGGGGAGGGAAACTGTATTCCTCCTCTCAAAGATTCTTGTTGTAAATTTTCTTCCTCTCGATTGTTCTCCCACCTTCATGCACATCCTTCCGCTTCTGAACCTTTTTTTTTTTAATTAGAGATGACGACCTTATTCCTATTCTTATTCTTATTCTTATTCTTCTTCTTATTATTATTATTATTACCGGCCCTAAGTAAAGTCAGAGTGATGTTTACTCTTCTGTTTCCCCAGCAAATCGAACTCGCGTCTGTACTTCAACAGCTCATGAGTGTACCCACTGAGCAAAAAAAAGACATTTGGTTCCCTCTTCGAATTTCTACTTCCAGACTCCTTAAAAAAAAAAACAAAGAGCAAAAAAAAGACCTTCTATTCTTCATTTGATTCCCTCCACTCCGAGATTCTTCCACTAAATTTTATTCCCCCCCAATCCTCCTCTCAAAGATTCTACGTTCTACTTCCAAATTTTCCGCTCCTCCTCTTCTATTTCTTCTTCTTCTTCTTCTTCTTCTTCTTCTTCTTCTTCTTAATCCTTTTTCTTCTCCTTTGTCTATCAGTCATCGCTATTCTTCGTCTTTCTTCTTCTTCTCCCGGCTATGGTGATCTCCTTCGTCTTCCTCTTGTTTTCAAATGTTAGCGTGCATACGTGGCAATTGGCCTCACAACATCTGTTCTGTCGTTCTTCTATCAATATCACTATTATTCTTCCTCTTTTTTCTTTTTTTTTTTAACTACCCTATATTCTTCTCTCACTATATCTCCCACTACCTACCCTATCTAAACCTCTTTCCATTCTTTTTTTCCAGTGGAATTATGCTCTCTTTGCTCTCTCCGGGGGAGCAGCACACAGGCTCCTAACACCTGCCTCAGCTGGAAAGTCAGACATCAACTTCCACCCAACCAGCCAGGAGGGACAAGCCGACTTTCTCAGCCGGTGAACCCGCAGTATGGATGCCACACAGGGGGTGGGGGTGGGGGGGGGAGTCGAATGGATGCCCTGGGGAATTGAACCCACGACCTCCTGTGTACCACTAACGTGCTCAACCAACTGAGATAGGCCGCTTGGCCATCTTATTATTATTATTATTACAATTTTATTATTATTATTATTAGATATATAGTCCTATATTTTTTATTTTATTTTTATTTTTAAATTAGTAAAGAACTTTGATATGACCCTGAGGCAAAAGCAGCTCAGTTTATTTTTCCGCATCGCATAACATAGTTTCTTTTTTGTCTTTTTTCTTTTTTCTTTTTTGTCTTTTTTCTTTTTTGCTGAGACCTTCCTTGACTCTTGCACGGCCGGGCCGCCCTGGAAAAAAAGGTCACCCGGGCGGCCCGGCTGGTAGCCCAGGATTTTACACATTGTACACATTTTGCGAATAGTGCAGCGCGGCTCAATGACTATGTTGGGCCTCCCAACCTCTTTTTTCGTGGGGACCACCACTCACGGGAGTGCTGACGTGAACAAGCCTCTCGACCTTTTCTATTTTTATTTTTATTTCTATTTTTATTTTTATTTCTATTTTTATTTT